TCCATCCATCCATCCATCCATCCATCCATCCATCCATCCATCCATCCATCCATCCATCCATCCATCCATCCCATGAAGTCCCTCCTGTGCTGGCTTTCCTCACCTCTTCCCAATGTTCTCCATGGCTGGTTTTGACTCTGGAGGTTCAGAACTTTTCTCTGACCTCAGATCCTGGAGGGAGCTGTCCCACTCAGCCCTGCAAGGCCAGGGCCCCATTTCCCTGAGCTCCCAGGGCCCCACCTCCCCAGGCTCCCAGCCCCTCCTTACTGGCTTTGGATGGGGTGGGGTACGCGGCGCTGCTCAGCTTCTTCAGCTCTGGGCAGTTGAATTTCTCTCTGATGGGGTCCAGCAGTTTGTTCAGGGCCACTTCCACAGAGTTCTTCAGGTCTCCAGGGTGCACAACCTGTGTCAGGACAAAGATGTTCCTGTCTTGAGGCCACGGGTGGGAACTGGAGACCAAACAGGGTGGGAAGATGAATCCCAAACCTGTGACCTGATTCCCCTTGGACATCAGAAGTTTCTGGACACTTCTGCCTCCAGCCTCTGCTGGGAACAGCTGGGAAGGGTTAAACTGCTGCTCTGCTGCAGGCTGTGGCTGATCTGGTGCTGTCCTGAACTCACACCCTTCACTCATCCTCTCTCCTCTGGGCTCTCCTGCCTGGGAGCATCCCACACTGCCAGGCCACACTCCACACCTCCTCCCAGTGTAGATTTCCATCTCCCAGTGCTCCCAGATTATTCCCAGGAACCTCAGGCAGAAGGTTCAGCCCCTCCCAGCACTCACCTGCTCAGCAAAGTCCTTCTCCAGGGCCTCGTAGGCCGTGTAGGTTTTGTTTCCTCCCCATTTTTCCTCTCGCAGGACCACAAACTCTGGGACAAAACAGGTTTTAAAGCTCACATTAATTAACTCAAGGCTCAGCCAAACCACTGACCCCATCCAGGTGGCACTCAGGGACAGCCTTGTCTCAGGGGACACACTCCTGTCCCCTCCTCCTATCCACAGCCCAGCGTGGCGAGCCCCTCACCTGACTTGAGGGGGAAGAGGACGTGCTTGATGAAGGAGAGGACACCGTTGTTCTCCACGTTCCCTGGCTCACAGAAAGCCTTCTTCAGCTTCTTCTTCACGTCCTCCTTGCGGTCCAGGAGATCAATCTTGGAGTCCTGCAGCAAGAGATTCCCTCAGCCAAGCTTTTACCCAAACTCATGCTGGAGCTGCTGCACCTTCTTAGAACCCATGGGAGTGGGGAGGGAGAGCTCACCTCCCCTGGGGTGGTCCCCTCTCAGCCCCCTGCCACCAAGCTGTCCCCCCAGAGCCCCCTGAGCACAGCCAGATCCAGCACCAACCTCTTCTGACGAGCTCATTTTGCTGCCTGTCAGCCCAGGAACCATGGGGTTCATCAAATGGACACGCTTGGCATAGCCCAGGGAAGGGAGGTACTGGGAAAGCACAAGGAGGCAAGTGAGAGACAATCCTGGTTCAGCCTGAAGTCACAATCCCTGTTTGCTCCTGGCTCCAGGTGACTTTGGGATCTGGGCTAATCCAGAGTCACAGCCAGGGATGTGTGGCTGCACAGAGCACAGGAGCAGCACAGGGAGCTGGGACAACCACCAAAACCCCACACACTTCTCCCAGAGGACTGGGGAGTGGCCCAGCCCTCCCTCAGGCCCCAGCCTGGCACAAACCTCCCCATTCCTGACCTTCTCTGCAAAGGTGAAGATCTTCCTCTGATCCACCCCTCCAAACTGCGCGTCCACCTTGAGATACTCCTCATCCAACGCCTGTGGAGAGACACAGAACAGTCCTGCCTGTCCCCCAGCCTCTCCTGGGGCACTCCCAGCCAGGCGAGCTCAGGAACATTCCAGGCTGTTTGCTGGAACAGCTGCTCCGTGCTCAGGCCAGCCTGTGTGCCACCGCCAGCTGTGACACTGGGGTGACAACCACGACCTTGGCACTCAGCCCCAAACACCCCCGTGGGCCTGGCACTGCCAGCACCGCCCTGGCCACCACCCCTGCCTCACCTGCAGGCCTGGGTAGAGCAAACCACTCAGCAAGGGGTGCTCCACCTGCTTCACCACCTCTGCCCCGGCCTTCTTGGCGTCGTGCTGCGTCACCACCGAGGAGAGGCGGTACACGTCCAGGGTGTACTCCCTGTGGGGACAGCTCTGTCACCAGGGGCATGGGACAGCCCTGAGGGCTGCTCCTGCCCACAGCTCTGTCACAGGGACAGCCCTGAGAGCTGCTCCTGCCCACAGCTCTGTCACCACGGGTATGGGGACAGTCCTGAGAGCTGCTCCTGCCCACAGCTCTGTCACCAGGGGCATGGGACAGCCCTGAGGGCTGGACAGCCCCGAGAGCTGCTCCTGCCCAACAGCACTGTCACCACAGGCATGGGGACAGCCCTGAGAGCTGCTCCTGGCCACAGCTCTGTCACAGGGACAGCCCTGAGAGCTGCTCCTGCCCACAGCTCTGTCACAGGGACAGCTCTCACAGCTGCTCCTGGCCACACTGACAGGGTACAAAGCCTGCAGGCGCCTCCTGGATATTATATATTTTAGGGATAATACTAAATTATACATAATAGTATTAGATACCTATATACATCTGTAAAAATATGTAATATGCAATAAACTATAATATAATAATATAATATAACATACTAATATATAATATCTATTATATAATATGATATAATATATAATGATATCTTATATATTATATACATTATATATTATATATATTACTATATGTTATTATATAATATATTAACTTTATATTTAATATAATTATATTATTATATATTATATTACATACACTATTATTATATAATACTATATTATATATTATAATATACTAATATATAATATCTATTATATAATATGTATAATATAATAATATAATATAACATACTAATATATAATATCTATTATATAATATGATATAATATATAATGATATCTTATATATTATATACATTATATATTATATATATTACTATATGTTTTAATTTATATAATATTTTATATATAATATAATATAATATAATATAATATAATATAATATAATATAAATCATGTTATATTATATTACATTACATTATTTATGTGTATATACACACACACACAATATTAGATACTCCTAATAAACCCCTACTTTTTTCTCCAACTCCCCCAGCCTGCAGCGCTGCAGCGCAGCCCCAAGGCCCCGTCCCTGCCCGGGGCTCACTTGCTGAGCTGGTAGTCCGTGCCGCGCACGAACGTGAGCTTGTCCAGGGGCACCCCGATGCTCTCCAGCATGGCCTTGATGACGTGCTCGTAGTAGCGCGTGCGCAGCTCCAGCAGCTCCCACGGAGCCTTCATGTTGTCCAGGTAGGCGTGGAGGTCAGCGAAGAGGATTGTCACCTGGCAGGGGACAGCGCGTCAGGGCAGCCGTCCCTGCAGGGTGGGACCGGGGGGCCCAGCAGGGCGGCCCTGCCCCACCTCGCAGCCGGCCTTGAGGAAATCCGCGATCTTGGACATGGGCACGAAGTAAGCCACGTGCGGCTTGCCCGTGGTGGCGGTGCCCCAGTAGATCCTCAGCTCGCGCTCCTGCAGGATGGACAGCAGCTTGTCCTCGCCCAGCACCTCCTGGCAGGGGACAGAACACGGGGAGCTGCAGGGACACATCGCGAGGGGCACATCCCGAGGGTCACACATCTGCTGGGACACTCCGTGAGGGACACATCCCGAGAGTCACATCCCGAGGGTCACATCTCCAGGAACACTCCCCGCGGGTCACATCCCGAGGGACACACCATGAGGGACACATCCCGAGGGTCACATCCCGAGGGACACATCCCGGCCTTGCCCCCTCAGATCCCCATCCCGGCCGCGGTCCTGCCCCGCTCCCCCTCTCCCACCCCAACCGCCCCCGCCCAGCCTCAGCCACCCCGCCCACCCCCAGTTCCTCCGCCGGACCCCGACCCAGCCCCGCTCGTCCCTCACACCCAGCCCCGCTCGTCCCTCGGGCCCAGCCCCGCTCGTCCCTCGGGCCCAGCCCCGCTCGTCCCCTCGGGCCCAGCCCCGGCCCCATCGGCCTCCCGGTACCTGCAGGTTCCGCGTGATGAGCTGATATTTCTCCTGCGGGCCGGGCGCGGGCTCCATGGCGGCGGCTGCAGGGCAGGACAGGCGGTTACCGGAGCCCGGTTCCCCCCGGTTCCCCCCGGTTCGCCCCGGTTCCCCCCGGTTCCCGTTCCCCGTTCCCCGCCCGGCCCCACCGACCTGCCCCGGGTTGCATCAGCCCCGCTCGGCGCTCCCCTGCCGCGCCTGGGCCTGCCGAGCGCCGAGCTGCCGATGCAACCAGAGGGGGAAGCAAGGGGGGCGCGCTCCTCCAATCAGAGAGCGCCTCGCGCGGCAAGGGGCCCGCGCTGCACCAATCAGAGGGCGCCTCGCGCTCGCGGGGGCGTGGCCTTGGCGCCGTTAAGATGGCGGCGGGTGAGCGCCTTTCCCGCCAGGCCCGGCCGGGCCGCGGCCGCTGCTGCTCTCAGCGGAATTTAATTCCCCCTCGTTTGTCTGGGGCGGTTTTACCCCTTTCTTCCCGTGGCTCGGGGAGCTCCCTGCGGTCGGGCCGGGAGGAGGAGCCGGGGCGGGGCGGGGCCCGCCTTGGGGCGGTGCCGTTGAGGCGCCGGTTGGGCGGTGCCCGCTGAGGGACGCGGCCGGTGTGGGATGGAAACCCTCGGTGAGGGCAGAGCGGGGCGATGCCGCCTCCTGAGGTTTAGCTCTGCACGGGGAAAGGCTCCGGGGTGAGCCAAGTGCGGGTGTCGGTGTCTAAGGGGGCTCCCCTGAGGGGACAGGACACGGGAGATGGGATACCGGGAAAAATCCCTCTCTGTGAGGGCAGTGAGGTCCTGGCATAGATTGTTCCCAGAAGCTGATGCCTTGTGAAGGCCGAGCTAAAACACAGGCTAGGCAAAATTAAAGGATAAAGTAGGGATTTATTAAAAGGCCTCAATGGATCCACCTTGGGCAGCACAAGAGCCCAGGCAGGGCTGCACCCAAATGAAGGATTTTGTGTGAGTGTCTCAATGACTAATTCCCTGACAGGGCTCCTCTTCCTTTGCTCGGTTTTTCCCAACCCAAAAAAAGATTATTTTTTTCAAAAAATGTGTTTATTTGTATCTCTGAAGGGCGGAGGTGGGGGTTGAGACACTTGGAGGATTTATTTAACTGCTCTGCAGCTGAAGGCTGTGATTTGGGATTCCTGGGCTCTGCTGTGGGGGACTGGCAGCAGTTTGGGAGGAGAGGGCACAGCCTGAGGGGGTTTCCACTGCTGGGACCTAAACCAGTCAAGAACAGAGATCAAATTGTGGTGGTTTTGCCTTCCCTGTTAAATTCCAGGGTTTTTGGGGCCCAGCTGAGTTCCTTTCACCGAGCGTGTCGCTTCTGCTGGCAGGTTGGAGCTGATTCCTGATTCCCTCTCGGGAAGGGCTGACCAAGGGCCGGCAGAGCAGCAGCAGAGCCCGTGGAGCTGGAAGCAGAGCTGCAGGAAGGCATGGCAGAGGGCTGCCCTCCGTGGCCCGGGCTGTGCCAGGGCCCCAGGCAGGAGCCAGCCCCCAGGGCCAAGAGGCTCTCGGACTCCGCGGCGCAGCCGCAGGCCCTGCAGTCAGCCAAGAAGGCCTGCGTGCTCAGCCCTGAGTGCAGCACCCCCAGCCCAGCAGGGAACCCTCTGCTGCCTTCCCCAGGCTCTGGCTGCTCCCTTCTCCTGGACGAGAGCGGGCAGGAGGAGCTGGGGGCAGGTTTTGCTGTGTCCAGGTACGACGACGTGGCCATTTCCCTGGACATCAGCCGCTGCTTCGACGACAGCGAGCTGGATGATTCCCTGCTGGAGCTGTCAGGCAGCGAGAAAGGGAATTCTCCCTTTGACTACACCGAGGAGGAGATCCAGGAAATCCTGGCGGATGATTCCGTGGAGGCTGAGCAGCAGCAGCTGGCTGCTGAAAGCCACCTGAGCCAAAGTGAGAGTGGGAAGAGCGAGCAGGCGCAGAGCGGCGGCTGTGAGGCCTCGGAGCTCACACAGGAAGCAAAGGAGCCCCAGGAGCATCCCTCAGGCAGCTCGGGGTGTGATCCTGGATTTTTGGGTGGCGCTGCTGCTCTGGATGGGGCTCAGAGGCTGCAGCAGGAGCTGGACCTTGACCTGCAGGAGCTGCTGAGCCTGAGCCCGTTCGCCGGCGCCGATGAGGCTCTGGAGGAACACAGCCTGGAAAGAGAAACTTTGGATGCCATGATAGATGATTGCTTGGGATATTCCACAGCTGCTGGGAGCTGCCTTCCTGAAATATCCTCAGAAAGGGTGATGCCTAAAGGCCAGGAAGGCCTGGCTCAGGGTTGCCTGGGAAAATCCCTGCTCTCATCCGGCCTTCCCTGTGGCCAGAGCAGAGGGAATGAGAGTCCAGCATTTGTGCTGCCACGCAAAAAAGAACTTCCCAAAGCAACAATGAGCTGTTTGTCACGGAAATCAGGCTCTCCAGAGGATGCTGAAGGGGAATTCAGAGGAGCTGAGCAGCCTCCAGGCAGCACTAAAGTAAACTCACATCTTCATTCTTGGAACTTGAATGTTTTTAATCCCATCCCTTTGGATTTGTCCATGTGCACACAAGTGCTGTGTTGATACAGGGGAGGTTTTTCAAGTAAATTTTTATATAACTCTATAAGTAAAACTTACATGGGAAAGTTTTATTACGTGTTAATCCCCTTTTTCCTTCCCTTTCCAGTTAAGGGACACAGCTGTAGGCCAGAGTGGGCAGGAAGAGCCACCCACTTGGAAGAAAAGTGGCAAAGTAATTCCTGTCCCACAGGAGGAGGAAGAAAGGTAATTTCTTAGGAAATCTGCACTTTAAAAACCATCCCAGCTGTTTCCTCCACCACTTTGAGGAACACCACGTGTGTTGCTGAGTTTATTTCTATTTTTAAATTAAATCCCACTGAAACAGTGGTGAAAGCAAGAAACATTTCACCCTGTAAGACACTGGAAGAGGGGAAAGAATATCGGGGAGTGGGAAAGGAGGTGGGTCAGGCAGTTTTGGGCCGCGCTCTGCAGGCAGGAGAGGGGATGGCACGTTCGTGCCTCCCTGGCTGCTCCTCCCGGCGCCGCTCCCTGCAGGTGGCAGCAGCAGAGCGGCTCGGGGGTTGCTCCTGCTCTTCCCCGCTCCTGGGAGCTGCACATCGGGGCTTCCCCCCTCATTCTGAGCCTTGCTGTTGTGTGGAAAAGAGCTGTTTTCTGCTTTCGAGAGCTCCCTGCGGGCTCCCCTTGTGGTCAGCAGGGCAGTGAGCGCCTGGGTGGCTCAGCTGCTTTGCTCTCGGCGTGGTTGATCTTTGGCAGCTTGACTCAAATAAATACTTCCATTCTTTCAATCCCGGAACAGTGCTACAAGAATGCCACATCTGCCATAGTTCTGCAGGGCTCTTTGCCCTCTCTGTGAACTGTAACCTAATTTAACAAATAACCTAAAAAAATAAATTAACACCATTTATTATTTTCAAGGCCAAAACAACGGACCTGCATTTCAGAAGCACAGCCTGAGCAAAAGAGACGTTTCTCTCCAGGCTGTGCCAATCCAAGTGAGGAAAGGTGTGGCTATTACCTCAGGTAACCCCCAGGTGGGATGGGAGAGGCTGGTGGGGAGGGGAAAATTCATCTCCTGGCTGGACTGGAGTTCTTTATTTGGAGTGTGTTTGTTTTCAGAAGGGAATAAAAAGTGCCTGTGACACTTTTGTGCACTGCCATGCACAAAATTCCTGCACAGGAATCAGCCTGGCTCCAGGGCTGGCTCAGAGGAGTTTTACAGATATCTGGGAAATATTTTGAAGGGGGTTTGGTGTGAAAAATCAAGGATGCTACCAAAAGCAGGTTTGTATTCCATGGGAAAAGCTGAGCTGAGCCCTGCCTTGTTCTGTTGGGGATTAACTTGGTCTTGTCAGTTGACAACTGCCCCAGAATCATCAACATTGGAAAACACCTCCAAGAACATCAAGTTCCCACCTCATCACCAGCCCAGAGCACTGAGTGCCACCGCCAGGACTCCCTGAAACCTCACACTGGGGGAATCTTGAGCCCAAGTGCTGAGATTTGGATTCAGACTGGGGGAATCTTGAGCTCAAATGCTGAGGTTTGGGCTCACACTGGGGGAAATGAACTCAAATGTTGAGATTTGGACTCACACTGGGGGAATCTTGAGCTCAAGTGCTGAGGTTTGGATTCAAACTGGAGGAACTGAGCTCAAGTTTTTAGACTCAGACTGTGGGAATCTTGAGCTCAAGTGCTGAGATTTGGGTTTATTTTTGACACCTTCTGTGTTGGCTCAGTGGTGTCATCCAAGAGCCACTGGCTGTGGGGGTGTGGAAAGGAAGGTGCTGAAGGGAGGTTTGGATTTCAGCTCACGGGGGCTGGGGGTGGTGCCAGATCTTTTCTGAGAGTCTAATTTAAAGTTTGGATTTTAAAAACAATGACTCCCCCCGGTAAACTCTCCCCAGTTAATCAGTATGAATCCCAGGGGACTGTCTCTAGGGATGTTATTGCAGCACTGGCAGGGGAATGTACACCCGTATTTTAATGGTTATGAGTAGAAATTAAAAAAAAAAAAAAGGGAGGGAGAGGAAGAACAGAGGAAATTCAAACCCCTGACCCTTCAAAGCCGCAGCATCAGGAGTTAGCCCTTGCAGCACCCCTGCTGGTGCCTCAGCAGCAGCACTGCAATCTGACCCCGGCTCTCAGAGCCTCTGCCCTCGCTGCCAGCGGGGAGATGGAGAGCACCACACCCCACCTGGATTCTGGACACAAAACAGCCCTTCACACCCCCCTGAGGTGAATTCTGGACACAAAACAGCCCTTCACACCCCCCTGAGGTGGATTCTGGACACAAAACACCCCTTCACACCCACCTGAGGTGAATTCTGGACACAAGACACCCCTTCACACCCCCTGAGGTGCTGAGCAGAGCACACTGCACCTGCTCGTGTCTCTGTCAGCTCCCGGGGTCCTTGGGCTCCTGGGGGCAGAGCTGGCTGTTCCTCTGGCTCTGCTCCAGGGCGTTTCCAGGTGCTTTCTGTCCCTTTGTGGTCGCCAGAACCTCAGGCCTTGTGAAGGCTGACCCAGAACAGAGGCCAGCTGCAGTTAAAGAATAAAGCAGGGATTTATTAAAAGGCTTCAGTGGCACTTTGGGCAGCACAAGAGCCCAGCCAGGGCTACACCCAAGGTGAACCAAAATGGTCACAAAATGCACAACTGGTCAGGGGGTCTCACTTTTATAAGTTCTGCTCCGTTTGCATATTGGAGTTAATTGTCCAATTAGAGCTTTAGCTGATGAAGTCCCATCCTTCTTGTTTTTCTCTCTTCAGTCCATGTTGTTTGTGCTCTTGGGCCTGAGATTTAGATCATTGGGCCTTGGTTTCCAGCTAGAGCAGGAATTGCTTTGTCTCCCTGCTCTGTGCAGAGAGCTCACCATCCCCTGATATGAATCTCAGAACTGCACACTAAAGCAGCACAGAATCTGAAAAATCTGAATGCTAAAACCTGATGCATCAGACTGGGATGTTCTGAGAGGCAAAATATTCTGGTAGCTTCCAGCCACGGCTCCCTGTGGTTATTTAGAGTGTTCATGGGTGCAGTAATTGCCATTTCTTGTGAGGCACAAGGAGCTGACAGTTGTGTGTGTGGAGCCTGCACTCAGGCAGGCAGCAGGAGCAGCTGCATCGCCACAGGGCTGCTTCCAGAGGATGAATCCAGCATAAGTAATGCAGAGGGGACAGGCAGGGAAAGCTAAAATGGCCTGTTTTCTCTTGCTTTCAGATTAAAAATGCAAGACGTATGTTGTGAGTCACAGAAAATCAGGCGAGGAGCTCTAAACGAGCCAGGCTGACAAGTGAAACTGAGCTCTCTTTTGCCTGGGAAGAACATTGTCTGTGATGCACACAATTTGATTTTCTTATTAGTGCAAACCTTTCTTATTGCAAATAGCTGTAGGCTTGGATCTCAGCCCGACGGGCAGCGTGGGCTGTGCCAGCTGTGGCAGGTGGAGAACTCCTGGCTGGGCTGGCAGTGCCCTGGGGGCTGTGCCCTGCCTGTGCCATCGCCATGGGAAATGCTGAGGGATCCCAAGGAATGCATGAAGGAAAATCAGCAGCTTTAGAGCCAGCAAGGGAATTCCTTCTGGGAAGCAGTAACTAATATATTGCTGCTACAAATCTTCAGCTCTGTTTTGAGTTGCAAATCTCCTGGCATTTGTCTCAGGGTAATGTTTGCTTTGCTATCCCATCTTTTACGTAATCTGGCTGTTCTTCCTTGGATCCTGGCTCTTGCTGCTGTGCTGTCTGAGGGAATTCCAAGCTGGCTACAGGAGAGATTTTGTCTTTTCCCTCATCTGCACGCTGCCTTGCACTTGCAGGAAATAGAATTTCCATAGATATAAATACAACTTCCATATATATCAAATCAATTTTTCATATATATAGCTTTTATGTCTGCATATATCTCATACATATTCTTACACTGGGTGATTGAGTGCTAAACAGGCTTGGAACTCAGCCCGAGTTCAGCGTGGGCTGTGCCAGCTGTGGCAGGTGGAGAGCTCCTGGCTGGGCTGGCAGTGCCCTGGGGGCTGTGCCCTGCCTGTGCCATCGCCATGGGAAATGCTGAGGGATCCCAAGGAATCCATGAAGGAAAATCAGCAGCTTTAGAGCCAGCAAGGGAATTCCTTCTGGGAAGCAGTAACTAATATATTGCTGCTACAAATCTTCAGCTCTGTTTTGAGTTGCAAATCTCCTGGCATTTGTCTCAGGGTAATGTTTGCTTTGCTATCCCATCTTTTACGTAATCTGGCTGTTCTTCCTTGGATCCTGGCTCTTGCTGCTGTGCTGTCTGAGGGAATTCCAAGCTGGCTACAGGAGAGATTTTGTCTTTTCCCTCATCTGCACGCTGCCTTGCACTTGCAGGAAATAGAATTTCCATAGATATAAATACAACTTCCATATATATCAAATCAATTTTTCATATATATAGCTTTTATGTCTGCATATATCTCATACATATTTTTACACTGGGTGATTGAGTGCTAAAAGTCACACTGACTAGTTGGAAAAAAATCCTTTTATATTCAGAATAAACTTCTCACATTGAGCCATCTCCAGTGTATTGGGAGAGAACCCCGTGGCTCGACTTGTGCTTCCTCTCATTCTGCTTTCTAGATGCTGTTAAATCCTAATATATTCATTTATTTGCAGCTTCCCCTAAGAATTGAAATGCTGCTGAGGCTGTGCTGGAGCAGATGTAAAAATGAGCTGTGATTTGAGCATCTGCTTGGCAATGGGGGGCTGATAATTGACCACGCAAGATTTCTGCCAGCTGACCATTTGTCAGTGTTTGCACTTTGTTATTGCCCTTTATCCAGCAGTAAATGGAATGATTTCCTTCCTGATGAGATCCTCCTTGGCAAGTCTGGGGCTGGATCAGCTACACCAATAATGAGGCTCCTGGAACTCTGTTATTTGGAGCAGAATCACAGAATGGCTGGGCTTGGAAGGGACCTTAGGGATGATCCTGTTCCACCCCTGCCATCAGCAGGGAACCTTCCAGTGCTGCAGGCACCTCGGGAAGCTGAGCTGGCTCCAGCCTGACCTCCATCCATTTCTTTTCCCAACCAGGACTCCATCAGGAGCTCTCCTTGAGGCTTGTGTGCTTGCTAGAGGGTTTTGATGCTTTTAGAAATTTCATCAGACTTTCTCACAACCTGGCAGAAACCTGATAAATTATTTCCTTGGATCTCCCTGGAATCAAAGGGAGTGAAGGAGGAAATACCTTATAAAGAGGCACGAACCATCTGGTTTTACTGTAATAACAAAGATCAATATCTTAAAAAAACCAGACAGTGTGTTTAAGGTGATGGAAAGGGAGAGCAGTGTCAGGGAACAGATGGAGAAACAAATCTGTGAAATACAAATGAACTCTTTGCTAGCAGACTCTGCCTTGAAAGACTCTGGGCTCTTGATTGATGCTGAGCTGGCTGAGGAGAAGGAAAAACCTTAATCTTGAAGCAGTTTTTACCTGCCCAAATTAATTTTGCTTGGATGGAGAGTGGGCAGGGAAGGTGCAGGGCTGGGGCTGTGCTGGCATAAAAGAAAAATTCCATTTAGTGGCTGAGCTCAGGGGGGAGATTTCACTTCAAAGCAAATGAAATCCACCTCCAAACCCTAAATTTCAAGAGATGTGGGATGAAGTAAGAATTGATAAAGTGGATTTCTAAGTTCATGGTGAGGGGAGTAAGAACTTCCCTGTGTTCGGAGTGGGAAACTTCTGGTCCAGGGCCTTTTCTAGTAGCAAATCTGAAATAATCTGAGCTCCTGGTTCCTAAATGAGTGGAACTTGCCTGAAAACCTGATCCCAAATCTGTAGTTTGGTCTTGACTGCTGTGGAAGGAATGAGGACGTGCCCAAGGAGAAAGAACTCCAGAGGTTTTAAGCACTGTGCTGAGTTTCTCCAGCCCCCTTTCCTCAGGCCAAAAATACCTCTGAGCCCTGGGGTGGAATGGTGAGGCACTGGGAGAAGTTCCTCCACATATTTGCTGGGATTAATCTGCCCCTGGGACTTCCCCTCTT